ATGCGGGCCCGTCTCCGCATTGGAGCCAACCCCACCCACATCGTTGGTCCATGCGTATATGGCATTGGATCATTTGCTCTATGCGGCAAGACCTGTCGTATTATTGACGAAAGATTCATATCCAGTGTTGCATCAATTCGTAAGTTACTATATGCGTTTAATGTATATAAAGAAAGCTACATCAAGGGGTAGCGGTGTTTGAGAATATGCACCTCTGCATGATTATGGAATCCTATCCTCCTCCTGCATGATGGCAAAAAATTTAAAGACAAGAAATATCTTCGATCCTTTAAAGCGTTTCTCCATTTGGTATGGAGATAGCTTTGGTGTCGAACACTTCACCTTTCACGGCAATCTCGTACTCGTTAACCTCAACAACGCGGTCGCCAAAAGCAGCTGCAATCTCTTCAAGACTTTTCTGCTTAGTCTCACTGCGAGCAATCAATACTCTGAAAGTCGGTAAACATGACAATGAGGTACTTACGGAAAATAGAAGTAAATCAGGATGAGGTAGATTGCACAGATAGCAACAAAAACGTAGTAGTAGTTTTCCTCAATATTCGCGAAAGCAGTTGGCCCCGCCTCAGTAACTTAATACCATCGTAATTAGCCCATAATCGTGAAAGCCGGGATTAGAAGTCATACATGCGACATTGATAGTGTAGTGAGCTACAGCTGACACGCCGACTATTTTGCTTCGGATGAAGAAAGGTATGATCTCGGAACCATAGAGCCATGTAACAGAGTTGATGAGCCCGTCTGAGTAGGGAATATTTAGCTTTAAGAAAAGAATATGGAAGGGGAATATCTGACGTACAGTAACAGACAGCAAATATATATATGCCTAATATAGCGAAGCCTTTACCAACCCGATTATCTGTATGCTGAAACAATCTTTGAAGAACAGCAGAGTATATTTCGGTGACAATGACGCAAGTGACGCCAGCAAGGAGCATACTACATCGACGTTAGCTCGACCTATTTACGACATACATTATTATGGTTGTGGCTCACTTCCGTCGGCCCCATCTATCTGGTAGAATAAGGACCGCAATTACATTGGCAACAAAGGCACTTGTTCCCCAAATCGCAGCCAGCGCCAGGATTGTCTTCGCGTCTATACCTAGCGATTTATACAAATTCGCTGTTGCTAGTTAAGAATGGAGATCATCTCAATAGTCGAGTCGTCTACTCACTTTGGTAATACTACATAAAGATTATCAGCGCCGTGATTCGGTGTATTGCCTCTTAGGGGTCGCTTACCTGTATGACATTGACACCGGTGACAGTGGTCAAAACCTGTACCGCGATACACCTATATGGCCTTAAGCAATCCTGTTTCTGCTATGTGTGATGTGCACTTACACTAATACTCGATGACAATAGACCTTGAAGATTTCTCGATACCCTAAAAGAGCCCTATTTTTCTCGTATTGGATCTGTGCCTTCATGAGAACAAACTCTTCGTGGGCCTCATGAGGAGGAATATTGTCTCTAATTTTTGAGAATTCTCTCCGTGCTTCTTCTATCTGGCCCTTCTGAATGAGTTCACGAGGACTCTTTGGCATGTACGTAGCCAAGCAGATGAAGAGGACAATACCCCAAGGGGCTTGGAGCCCGAGTGGCAGACGCCATTGAGAGGTGCCATATGGTGCGTAACTACCCGCGAATCCGACCCAGTTAGCCGTCATTGTTCCGGCAGAAAGTCCAACACCAGAAAGACCACCTATCAACCCGCGATTCTTGGGAGCGCTGATTTCCGAAAGGTAGATAGGAACAGTGGCACTCAACGCTCTGTAAACATGAGTTAGCGGGAGCGTCCAGCTGGCATCATGTGAGTCTATAGGATGTGAAAGACATGTACCCAACTCCTATGCCTGCGAGTACACGGCCAGCAAGGAGCATTCCAATATTCATCGACGCCGTTTGGACGATCACACCGATAGTGACGAGGACACAAGCAAACTGCATGAACCGAGTCCTCCCGAGCCTGTCCGCAATCAAGACCTGCAGTAGAGCACCCATTGCTTCTCCTGCAATATAGACAGCCACGACCTACGTGCCATTAGTCGAGAGGGGAAAACAGCACAGATATGTAGATAGACTTACCGCGCCTATGATGGCTGTCGACGGATTGTGCATGTAGTCGATCCAGCTTTGGTGGGCGATTGCTAAAACTCCGTATCAGGTTCTTGACCAGACGTGATGGGACCATATTACCGACTCGTCGTGATAACACCTGTATCAAACCCCTGTAGCTCATTGATATTAGAAGCCATAGTCTACACTGGGAACAATTAAAACTTACATATAGATATGTGCCGAGCGAAGCAGAAAGGGCAATGCCCACGTTGTACCAACTGGCGCCCATGTTGCACACGACTTTTCAGTCCTAGAGAATTCTACACCAGATACTTGAGGTTATATGATCTAAAATTGGACGGCACTTTCAAGCCCGGATCTTGCCCCGGGTCATGCCCCGGATAATACCCCGGATACAACCCCCGGCGGTTACAAGTCGGCCAAGCCATGAGGGGAAATCACTAGCCCAAGCTGCCTTGCATCCGAAGGGCAGTCCACGAGTTGGAGTTTACTTGAAAATATAGCTGGTCATCTCGCTGCGTTAACTGTGATCGGAATTATCGTAGTACACCTCATACAACTCGCCTTTCACCTTTGGGCAGATTTCCCTGAACCCAGAATCACCCAGACAACGCAATGTGTTGAGGCAATAACTACAAATGGAATCGTAGAGAATCTCGCTGTCAATAGAGCTAAGGAGCTAAGGCAATTATTAATGTTATATATACTAAGAAAATATAATCGCTACAATTTTCTACTATAACCTGGGCAAATACTAGCGACTGTGCGCACCCCGGAAGCGAAGAAACCACCAGCTCTTAGCCAGCTCCTCCCTTGGTCAATCAAGCATGCAGGTGGCATCTTATTGCACGCCGTTCCTAAAGCCAGTTCGGAGTATGAACTTTGTGCCTTAAGACCTTCTCCTAAGGAAAACACCAGCTCTCGTCACATCGTGAGAAGAAACTGTGTTCTCAAATTAATCGATGCTACGCCGATTTCAAACTATGTTTCCAGAGAGGTTCAAGAATATCTGAGCGAGGGAGTACTTTGTATGCCGCGGTTTCTACAAATATCTTGCTCCAGACCGGCTCTGATTCATCCAGGTGTTTATTATAATACTATGATCACCTAACACGGACTGACAAATGATGACATCGAAGAAGCACTTGATTCGAAGGAGGGAGCCGCAGACTAGTGTAGGCTCTCTCTTCTTTTGTTACACACCGTGAACTAGAACCTAAGATTTAATCGCCTCAAGACCTTGAGGTCATTCAATACTATTTTGAGTTGATCCTATCTACGAGCAAGGAGCCCAGCCTGGTAACTATAAGTCATTTGGAGTCCCACCAATAGTTCGATGAGCCCCAATGGGCGCAAGACACCCAAAAGGTCGGAAGAATTTGGATTTGCCTCGGCAGGCTTGTTACTGTAGGAAGTGAAGGACCAATCTTTTGTATCCGGATATACTTTCAATCAGTTCCGGCACACGGATGTACTCATCTGGTCCATGCGCCACGAGGATCGACCCCGGCCCATATAGAACCCTCTTGTTACAGAGCTCGTCCTTGAGTCGAGGCACGTCTGTTCCGAAAGCCACTGGAGCGGCATCGAAGCCCTCTATCTCCCAGTCCAGGAGAGCTTCAGGATATTCAAAAACGAAATTTAGCTCCACGTCTGGATACCGAGATATTATTTCTGCGAGTTTGACCTTGATGCCGGGTAGATCGGAGACCATGCGGACTTCGCAGAGAGCCTTAGCCGACGGAGCGACGATGTTATGTTTCTCCCCGCCCTCGAGGGTCCCAATGTTGAACGTAGAAGGACCTAGAAGGTCAGATTTAGGCCAGCTTGTCGCAGAGAGCTCGTTCAACACGGCTAGAAGCGTTGAGGTTGCACTTTTGCCGAGATGAGGATACCCCGAATGGCTTTTGTGTTTGGTCAACATAACTATTCGGTGGGCTCCTTCCTTGAGATTACACGTACCAGGCAACGCCACGAGCGATGACCTCGAAGGCTACTTGTCCCTTATGACCCTTCGCAAGCTTACTCTCCGTTGGTTCGGCGAAGATTCCCGATTCCCAGGTTACTCCCATGTCATTGGCGGCAATCATCCCATGCCCGCCGTTCTCCTCGCCCACCACGAATAACAACCCGACATCGCCCTCTGCGCGGATCTTTTCTTCTTTCCTTAACTCCTCCGCGGCTATAATCTGAGCCGCCAGCGGGCCGAGATCATCGGAAGATCCCCTTCCACGGATGATATCACCGTCGACAGTCAGCGGAATGTGTGGCGGCACCGTATCCATGTGAGCTGTGAGAAGCACGCGTGTCTTGCGGGCTGAGCCGAGGTAAGCGTACACATTGTGCCGGGTGGACCCTGGCGCGATTGGGATTCGCTCAACGGTATAGCCCAGACTTTGCAGATGTTGTTCGAGGAAGACGCCGATGCTATGCTCTAGCTCACTGGTGCTGACAATCGACATGAGCGATTTCAACAGGTTGACTACTTGGTGTTCCATGATCTTAGGCGCCATTTCTCATAGGATGTCAGAAGAATGAATATATGGATTTCTACGTGCCATTCACTTTTGCATGGTCTATACCGATACTCGGGGCGTTGATATGGCGTATTAGTGGGGTTGTTCGGGTATTACCTCCGAAGACATGGTGTTGATCCACCTGTTACGTGATCTTTGGGTGTTTGGGGCCGTGGGGAGCAATCAGGAAATAGCTTTACATCCGAAAACGCGGCCGTTACACACGTGTGCTCATTGTGAATCATTCTCGAAACTACGTCACTCTTGTTTTGGCAACTCCTAACAGCGGGTGATTGTCTTCTGTTTGGGATGGGGAGTGTGGAAGCCCCTGAAACTCTCATAGATGACGCTCCAACGTCAATATCTACCTTGAGTAGTGTAGGCCTGGTGGCCTAATGGCTAAGGCATCGCTTTCCGGTGTTGGAATTGGCGAAGATTGCGGGTTCGAGTCCCGTCTGGGTCGTTGTATACTTGTCGCACGACAACTTTTCATAGTTTTATTCTGTGCTTGTCCAGATCATCTCCGAGAATTATTTTTGGTTTGAGAGGGTTGCAGTGGAGAATACAGGGGGTGGTGGTGGTGGTTATATAGCCGTGACAACTAGGCTCGTTACTCTATCCCACCACTACGCAGTTGGAGTTGGGTAAAAGCCACCTAACAAGGTATTCTTGGCACGCCAACTAATGACCCATCACGTAGAAGATATCTCATCTCGTGGTACTTAGACCAAAAACTTCGGCGCGAGAGCTCGTGCGTTACTTTCTCCCAAGCGCCCCGGAGCTTCGCAGACTCATAATACACGGCTAGGGTAGGATTGTACTGTAGAAAAGTATTACTATATTTAGACTATTCGAAGAGGCTAGTTCGATACGTCTCAACGCTAAATACAGAAGCTAAGGAGTTATCTACCGGAGTAGCTTTACTTAGGCAGTTAGCGCGACATACGGTTTCGAAAAAGTAGGAGCGGCACAACATACCAATGAACTTCTAGTCTAGCAGCTCGCACAACGCGAACTTACTACCTACGTATGTATAGAGACCAAGTAGCGCGCGATCCATCCTTGTAGGCTGAGGTATTATGGAAGGCATTCTTGTTATTTAAATTCGCCAACCCTTGGGGAAATCCAAATTAGCTCGGCACTGCATGTTCTGCAGCCAGTCCCATCGTCGTAGTATTAGAGGCTAAGAGATGATATACAGCATCCTAAAAGCAACGTCAAGAGACATAAACTCTCATCTGAATAGTGGCTTTTTTTCTACTTGACATTAAATGACCCCGGAGCTTCAGTAAGCACAACCACTTCCATCCTGACAGTTTTTCTCCACATTCGCAGTCTAAGCGCAAGTTCGCATATTACCGAAGTCTCCTGTTCATTGGCTCAAATCTCCTACTTCCAACACTTGCAAAAAGACAAGCGCACTGACACTTTGATAAACTTCCCCTAACACCCCTGGCTGCGCCGCTAACCTAGATACATGTATGTTCCCGTTGCGCGAACAGTGTCTTCCAGTAGCCTTTTCCTCCAACTAGTGTCTTCTACCAAACGAATAATTATTCGTATTAAGATGTCCTAACGTCAAAGACCCCAGCCCGAAGTACGGCCAAGAAACGGCGATAATCACCAATGAGAGTCCTACCAACCAAAGTAATCCTAACCGTTGTCTAGCCCTCCGTACAAAGAGGATGAATACGATTAAGGCTCCAAGAATAGTGATATGTGTGATCCACTGCTCAGAATTAACATCCGAGAAATGCAAATCTGGCACTAGGGCTGTCGTGACTCGGCCCCACGGGGTCATTGTCCCGAATGCCGGGCTCCCGGCTCTTTTCATCGCGTACGTCCCCCCGATCGCCGTGTTTGATTGCACCCTCCGCACTCCGTTGATAAGCTCTATCGGGATCTGAAGCATGGCGATATCGAGTGCGGTTTCGCCTATCTTGAAACAGTCTTGGCCAGGGCACCTTTCACTCCGGAGCTCCGGAGCCTGGCGAGCCCAGGACGGTAATAGGTGCGTTATCGTCGCTCCCAGCGTGTTATTTATTATACTGATTTCGGTCTCCCTTAATATGTTGCTCAAGATAACCCGAAGCTCAACATCCTGATTGATATCGACGTCCTTGAACTCGAGAAGTCCAACTTGTAAGTGCTGGAGTGTAGAACAGCCGTAACGTAATGGCTTTTCGACCAGAGTTTCCAGGTCGACGCGAAAGTTTTTGACTTCTTTAATTCCATGTCGATAAATGAACAACCCTCGGTTAATATCAATTAGCCTCGTCAGTTCGCTGAGCTGCCGCCACGCCGCTTGCCACTGTCTTAAATTGACGCTATCCGCCACATCGAAAGGCGGTTCAAGTGCGGAGGCACCACCACACAGCAAATTAAAATCGCAACCCTGGAGCTCCTGTGGCAAATCAGTCGTATGCGCCCTTGATTGTGCAGAGGCCTGAGTGTTGGTGACGGTGACGGTAGTGGTGGCAGTAGTGGTGGTGGCAGTAGTATTGGCACCAGCAATAGCGGTGGCTACCTTCTTCCTATGCGTGCGATCTTCAAGTAGTTCGATTCCCACCAATATGAAAATCGCAAAGATGTACCAAATCATGTTTGCATCATATGATCGTTATTATTGCCCCTTCATTATTGAGACTTCTACCCATACTTGAACTTGACTTGTGCCCCAACAAAATAAGTTTATCAACAACAAAAGGCAGTAGCTGATCTAGCACGTCGGACCAATGTCATCAACATTGAAATGAAGATTGGTTTCCCAGGTTTCTTAATAATGCCGGATTCGGTTCCCTGAAAACGGGTGCTCATTGTCCTTAGTATCGGCAAGTCTATATCTTTCGCCATTGTCCTATGAAGAACAGCAATGAGAGAACGGCTAGCGTCCACGGCGGCTTACCAGTGAGTTAGCCTTTAGCCATAGACAAAGAAAGGCATGTCCCTATTATGAAGACACTGGCGCCATTATACCGGTCTCCCTTTTTCAGTTATACTTTTAAACCAGTAAATTATTTATTTGTTCAATCAAAAAAAGAACGATAAATAACATATAGTCAGACTAGATTAAGCTAGTATTCATTAAACAGTTTACATTCTTTGTAGTTATTTATCATTAATAACAGTTATAAATATCAAGTTTTTAAAGCACAGCAAGCAATAATTAAACCGTGAAATTACAGAAGGTCGGGACAGCAAAGAAAAGGGTTAGGTAAGCGCAAAAACTGTCTACGATATCCTGTATTAACATAAGTCTCCTATCCTCATCGTGGTCCCCTGGTATATCGATATACCAGGTAGGTTTTTAGTTAAGGTTGCGTAACGAAGTGCCTTTTGACATGGAGGGCGCCTAAGAGAGAGGCAGAAAGAAGCGGAATAATTCGTACCCGGAATTATTTTCTATGTCATTTAATGATAATACGCTGTTATTATTACAAGCAAATCAACAGTTAAATTAAATCCCTTTGATATAAAGTAGATAGACTTGGGATATATCTGGACCTGGAAGCTAACTCCACTCCCTACAACGTATTACTAACGCAACCTCCGCAACCCCCATTTCTCTGACAAGTAGGCCAGAACGCTTGAGCATTAGGCCCCTCTATGCTTCTTTGCTCCCTTGGGTACCTTTACCAGCCAGAACAGCAAGAATGTAAGCGCGATGTTGACGAGGTTGTAGGCGATAGTCACACCCCACTCCCACCATCGATCTTTGAAGAATATATTAAAATACGCCAGCAATGAATCAGTGGAAGTGTACATGCAAACCTCGCACCCGCTTGCGCTGTCCGGGTTTAGCAACTTTGGTACAGAGGAGCCCAGATAGGAGCCACAAGTTTGACCCGGGGGAGGGTCCAGTCGCAAAATATCACTGGATGAACATGCAACATCAATACCCGACAGGCCCGTCGAGATGATGGCAGATATATAGTACGAAAGTGGCGTTGCCCGATAAGCGAAGATCCAGAATCTAGGGAGGGCGTGAGGGGGTACGAGAACTCTGGGAACATGTCAGTGTCGAGTTTGACAGGATGGAAAAGGTGCACCAACCCCGAAAAGATGAGTGATAACAAAAACAGAAGGTTTCCGTTATTTATACCGGTCGGAATATCGGGCATGATCGTCATGAGCATTTGAGATAGTGTCTGGAAGAGGAGAAGTAGCGACCAGATCAACAGGAAGACCAGCGCGCTGCGGCTGTTGAGCTCGTGCACTTCTATCGCCTTTCGCCAAAAGCCTACTGGGTAGTACCATGCCGCATACGCGATGACGCTGATAACAGTTTGTGATGCGAACTCGACCACAATGTTAGAGATGATAAATACTTGCCACGAATATGTCCGTGACTGGCGCTCCCGGTTTTCAAATAGAAGTCGGCTGTTATAGAACCGCTCCATTATTAGCTGTACATGCGTGCCAAAAATCGTGGTCAGTAAGAAGAGGGAGAAGATTTGGTTTTGGATATCCTGGGGCCTGCTGCCCGAAGCCCAGAAGCTGACTCCGTTGATGAATGCCTGGAGATGAAATTAGAGATACAAGTAAAAGTGGATAGGGGATGCTTTAGGTTGCCTACACAGCCAAATGTGGTAAGAGCTTTAGAATATAGGTATTCTGGTGACCTCCAATCATGTTGGAAGGCCCTCTTGGTCACGAGGCGAACCTGACACCAAAAAGAGGACGCGAATTCGGTAGCGCAAGTCTCATCCTGGCTTTCTCGTCTTGTGGCCGTGGAGAGTCGCTGTTTCATTCGATCACACTCGGCCTTGACAGCGACGCGTTCTGCAGACTTGTTCCAGATGTCGGCCCAATTCGATTCGCTGTCGTGAGCGTCATTTCTCACGACACCCATCATCCACTCAGCAGGATTTTCGTCTATTAGGCATTTTCGTGCTCCGTTACGCTCAAAGTAATCAATCAAGGTGCTAAATTGGGGACCAAATTCGCCGAAATACACCAGGTTGCCTTCATTAAGGAACACGAGTCTATCGAATAAAGTCAGAAGAGGACTCGACGGCTGGTGGATGGTACACAAGATGGCCTGGCCGCTGTTAGTCAAGCGTTTCAAGAGAGTACAGAATGACCAAGATGAGTCGCTATCCAGGCCGCTCGTCGGTTCATCAAGGAATAGGAGTAGCTCGGGTCTCGCGGCTAGTTCAGTGGCAATGGTAACACGCTTCTTTTGTTCGACGTTAAGTGTACCGACTACGGCGTGTTGGAAGCTCTGCATGTCGAGCAATTCGATGACGTGGTCGACGTATGTCAGCTTTTCCTCCTTGGAGTAAATATCAGGTTGTCGAAGCAAAGCGCTGAACTCTAGGACTTCTCGGACGGATGCCGTAGGAAGATGTATATCATCCTGTTGTGCGTATCCAATCTTGCGTGCAAATGCAACGTTTTGGTAGCGCGTGTCGACAATAACCTCGCCGGAGACAACCCCAACGGTTGTCCGTTCAGCTAGAA